GTACAGGAAAACGCGGTAGAGAACCGGGAGGATTGCGTGAGTGAGTGAGCTTTGGCGCAGGAGGCGGATTGGCCCGTCTAATCAGCAAATTTAAATGCGAGAGGGAACAGCAGTGAAACCCAATCAAAACAACCCTGTGGCTGCTTGCTGGTTAGTAGGAAGGAAGCGGAGGCTCAAGTTGGTGTGAGACACCTCCCTCATGCAGTGGTGTTCAACGCCATAGAAATATGCATGACCCTAAGAACACAAGAAGAGCGCTGTTGGATCAGACCAATAGTCCATCCAGTCTAGCATCCTGTCTCACACAGTGGCCAGCCAGTTCCTCTGAACGGCCAACAACAGGGCAAAGAGACCGAGGCCTTCCCCTGCTGTTGCCGCCTGGCACTGGGATTCAGAGGTTGACTGCCTCTGAATGTGGAAGTTCCCCTCAGTCAGCATGGCTTGTAGCCATGGATAGACCTAGCCTCCATGAATCTGTCTAATCCCCTTTTAAAGCTTTCTTTACCTGTGGCCCTCACTCCATCCTCTGGCAGCCCCACCCCACTCCAGCCACCCCTCTCCCTCCCCTCCTGCCCGATTTAAAGGGCTTCAGCAGATCTGCGGGACTACATGGCCCTCCGACCTGCAGGATGGCCCTTTCAATCTAGCAGGACAGAGGAACAGGGAGTGGGGCTGGGGGAAAGTCCCAACCCGGCTTGCAGAAAGACCCTCTAAAGGGTCTTTTTGCAAGCTGTGCATATGGCCCACATCTACCCCCTCCCTCCTGCTAGATTTAAAGGGTCCTCCAGCTGGTTGGCAGGCCATGTGGTCCCCCAACGATCTGCATAAGCCCTTTAAATTTGGCAGGAGGGGACAGAGAGGGGTGGCCAGGCAGGTGGGCATTCTTGGGGGTGGGGCTTGGGGCATCCCCACCCACACCCAGAATGCCCCCCCAAATCCCCCCGCCAGAGCGACGAGGGGACCTGGCAAACCTACTGACACCTGTATCTTAACTGAAGTTTGATTTTTTAAAATTTAGTTTTAATAAACATAAATTATATTTTTATAGATTGTGCTGTGTGTGTCTAACAGCTGTTCATTATCTGTGAGATGAATCAGCCTCAGAGAGGCATGTTTGTGTAAGTTTTAGGGAGCTCTGATGCCTGTGGTTTGGGCGAACCTATGGCACAGGTGCCAGAGGTGGCACTGAGAGCCCTCTCTGTGGGGCACGCGTGCCATCGCCTGAGCCAGGCCCAGACCATCATTAAAGTGTCAAATTCTCTGCCAAATAATTTTAAGTAAATGAAAGCATTTGGGATTGCTTTCCTTACTTTGTTTGGATCATCTTAAGTTAATGTATGAGTTTTTTCTGAAGTAAAACCTCAGTATTCAGGTTAAATTGCCGTGTTGGCACTTTGCGATAAATAAGTGGGTTTTGGGTCGCAGTTTGGGCACTCGGTCTCTAAAAGGTTCGCTATCACTGCTCTAAGCTATGGAGTCTTGTGAGCAAAAATGCTGCTTTGTGAGCTACTGGCATTAAAGTTGTGAGCGAGCGTTTTGGCTGCTGCATAAATTAGTTTGCTCTGGAGCCATCCTTCCTGAACTAGGACAAAAATCTGTGAGCTGGATGCTAAAAATCTGAGGTAGCTCACACTAACTCAGCTTAGAGGGAACACTGGTTGAGAGGTCTCCCTGTGGGACTGGTCTGTCCTGACCCCGGGACAGGGCTGGGCTAGTCCTTACAATCTCTGTCTCCCTAAACTTCATCCCTCACCTCTTCATCCTTCGCTAAAACAGGCCTCTTCAGTCCCACCCCCAGCCTTCCCTTCCAGCTCCCCCACCCAGACTATAAAAGGGCCCTCCGACCTGGTTGCAAGGGCTTCCCATTTAGCCAACTAGATCATAGGGGCTTTTCTCACTAACAGACTCCTGCATTACAGCTTAAAAACAACAGAACTGAAGTAGTCAGGTTAAATACACAAAATCAAAAACCTTCCAGTCAGCTTCCTCTGGGAAACTGGAGTGTTTCTGACAACCCACAGCAAGGGGAGTCGGGCCAGACTGAATCTGGTTTGGGAGTTTTGGAAAGGGGCCAAGTGAGTCTGACTGGGATGTTTTGGTAGGCCTTTCCTTGCTCCGAGGGCTGAGAGCCTATCAATGGTGATGGCCTGAAGATCACACTTCCTGGGTGGCAACTGAGGTAACTGTGTGCAAACTGAAGCCAGCAAGGAGAATGAGGACAGAAGGAAACACGCAGCTTGTTGAAGAGCTGTATCACTAAGGCTTTTGTTGAGGGGGAAGGGTGTTTTTAAAGGAGTGAATCCAGGAACATTTGGGTGGTAGTTCTGAAATGCAGAAAGTTCATAGAGGCCCTCCCATGATCTTGATGTTTGCCAGTCAAGGTTTCCTGCGACCTGATTGCATGAAACTGTGCCCCATGCGTACAGAGGGCATGCTTTTTTGAAGCCCGTGAGGCACAGCGCCCCTGGATCCTCCCAAGGGTGAATGTGAGTACTAAGGGGCCTATTCCATCTTGCAGGTGTTAGTAATGGGGCCTCTCTGCTTCCATGCACCTTATCATCTTCAAGGCCAGTTAGGAATGTGATAATTGGCTCTTCTTGAGTACCTGTGGCCCACAGGAGATGATGTAACCTTCTAGGGGATTCCAGCAATTACTCCTGATTGGATTGTCACCATCACCTGACACTAGTTGGCTCAAGACTGTAATGAGCAAAGCATCTGAGAGAAAAGGAGGCTAACTTCAAGATTCTGGTGAGGCCTATAATACGATATGTTCATGTTACAATAGATGGCTACGTAGCAAGTGCTTAAGCCATGGCCTTTAAATTTTGGGGCCATCTAACACAAGGTATAAACAGAATAGAAAAATGAGCTTTTCTTGTTTTTCCTTGCTGCAAGGATTTTGTAGTGTCGTGTAGCCTAGAAGAAGAAAAATAATCAGAAAATATTTCATAAACGTCATATATTTTTATAAAGATCTGGTTTCTTTTGCACACCACCCCTGGGAACCCACAGGGTTTGGGCTTGGACTCCTTGACAAAGCCCCATCTAACAATGGTCATTTTAGAGATGTCTCCAGGCATCCCGCAAATGCGAAGCCATGTGCTGGAACACCAGAAGGCCTAAAGGGAGATCTGCCATCTGGAGTATCAAATCTGAAAGTGTGCCAACTGTTGAAGTCTTTCGCCAGACAGGATCAGAGATGATGTGAGAAGAACAAAGGCTTTTGACCCTTCCTCCTGGAATCAAACTGGCTGCCAGAGTAAACCAAATGTAGTAAAATTAAGTCTGTGTCCTCCCTTTTAGGAGACGGGGTGCCACACTGGTAACATCTCTGATCCAGGGAGGAGTCTTGCTCTCCTACTCCCCCGTGGCCTCTTTTCTGCAGCCTTGGTTCCTGCCTGTTTGGATTTGCTTTTTGTTTATAACTTTATCATTTCCTCACATTTATTTGAACCCTGTAACCTAGGGTTTTGGGAACAACCAAGGACCTCCAAGCAGGGTGCTGTCCTGGATGTTCAGGTGCTTCTCCCTTAGATGATGACTGGCCTTGAGGATGCTATCCATCCTGCTGTCTGATTTTCCCAGAGGCCTTTGGGTTCCTGCCTGATCGGGGTTCCCCTGGGAGGCCCCGGCTCCTGCCTTTTCTGGCCCTGTTGCCTGGGGTCCCTCAGGACCTCTCAGGGATTCCAAGCCTGGAAGGGTCTGTCCTGGATTTCAGGCTGTGGCTTCCCAAGGACTTGCCTGCCTCAAGGGTGCCATCCTCCTGGGTCTTTGGAGCCACTGAGGGTCCAGCCTTTGTACTCTCCTGGCAGCTTTTTGAGGTTCTTGAGCCTCTGACAGTCAACTAGGGAGCTGCTTTTGCTCTGCAACCACTAGGAAACTTTGTTTTAACAAGAGGGCCAGAGAGTGGCCATCAAAGAACTCAAATTCTGAATGGTTTTAACTTCTATGCAGGAAGGAGTCACTCTTCTTTGAAAGTGGCTGGGATGACTTCTCAACCTTGATTTGAATATCTTAGCAATGCATGATGGGTTTGTCAACATTCTGTGTTGCAATTAAGTCTGGCTGTAGATCTGTGGCATCTATATGACAGGAGCTGACAGCTCTAGGTGACTGGAGAGCTGGCTTTGACCGGTTCTGGCTGGTGCTTGCCAGAACTAATTAGCAATGACTCAGCATTGGCCCTGATTGGCTACTGGATGTATAAGTACAGTGAGGTACTATCCATGTATTCTTCATATGGAAATTGGTTGTCTGCGGAGCATTACGTCACTCAGTGTAATTATTTGGTGGAGGCTTTGTAAAATAAACTGTAAATAACTTTTACACAAGCCTTGAAGACTCCAGTCTTTATTGGATAACCTTGCACCCGTGCCCAGTCTGCAGTGGGCTAACACCACGCAATATTGACAGGGTTATGGCTGATCTTTCCACTGTCCGCTCTGTCCTCTGCAGGGCAGGCATTAAATCACTGCCACCCTGAGTGTTGTTGGGAGTAAGTTTGTTCCAAGTGGGGGAAGAAAGGACCCGCCCGGAAGAAAAGAGCAGTTTGTCTTGGACTGAGGAACTGCCCTGTGCCGTTTGGTCACCTTGTCTGCCAAAATGAAGAGACCCTGATACCTTCTTCCCCATTGACTCACTTGATGTTATCTGTCCACGTTCCCCAACCTTCCCAGGACCCCTCCCCACAAGTATGTTTTCAAATGAAACAACAGGAAGACAAACCTTTAATACAAACAGGTATCTCAACACAATGAAAACAGCCTCCACGCACACACATGCAATGAACTGGTGGTGGCCAAAGGAGGAAATTTTACATCACAAATAAGGGATGGGGTGGGGAAGGGTAAAACACCCCGAACATGGAACACTGACCCCCTATTCCACATCTGCCTCACAGCTGTGTTGAACAAAACTTGAAAGGGTGTGGGATATCTGACAAATGCTTTCCACACCTCTTATCTCGTTTTTCCATCCAGAAGAATGAATTGGGGGGGGGGGGTTGGCATCTTCCTCTCCACAGCTGGCAGAGATTGGGCTGGGAGAGCGAGAAGGCAGGATTAAGGGTTATGGGGGTTAGCAGAAGCCTGCTAGTCTGTGTAGACCTTTTAGTCCAGATATGTTATTATATAATGAGTGGAACGGGGCATTGTCTCTTTCTGAGGAAAAAGCAGACTCAATTTTATTTATCAGTTTTGCTGATTGGGAGCCTGGAGAAGACCTTCGCAGAGCGAAAAAACAGGAATCTTAAGTAATACATACGTATTTTTAGTGGCCCTGGTGCAAAATGACTGTCTTAACAGAGTTGGAGGTGGCCTTCTAAATACACACAGAAAAAGGGGAGGAGGGTCTCTCCAGAGAAAGAGGCTCCAGAGAACTCGTAGAGAAGGGCTGCTCGGTCAGCGTCGAAAAAGGCCACTCTCCCTGCAGTGTAGTTCAGGCACACTCGGATCCTCTTGAGCTCCCCACTCAGGATCAGGGGAGGATCAAGGTCTTTTTCAGAAGCCTTGTAGCTGCCCCCCCACCTCCCCACCTCCCAGAACCCTCCCTCAGGATCAAAGGAGAACTCTCCCTTCCTCCTCACAGACTTTCTGGCCACTCCCACTGTCCATTCTTCCTCACTTCCCACAAGGACTTCCCAGAAATGGCGGCCTCCTGTGAATCCCGCACGGCCCAGAACACAGGAACATTTGTCAAATCTCTCAGGATTTTTGAACAGAGCTCGAGCCTTTCCTCCTAGTTGCACACTTTTCCGATCCTCAGACAAGATGAGTTGGGGATGGGCTGTATACGGATCCAGAGTCACATTTGCTGTTGAGGGCAGGGAGGAGACAGAAATGAAGCAAATTCAGCAGGGGGACAAATGGCAGAGTTCTTTGCCACCCCCACCTGACACTATAGTTAACGTCCCAGGTATGTCCATTCCCTGTGGATCTCCCTGACCTGGTTGGTTGTTTAGACATTTCCCCCACTGTGGCTTATTCTGTTTCACTTTTCTTATTTTCAGTTTTAACCCTTGGCTGGACTTGCACAGGCTCTCCTTCCTTCCCCTGCCCTATGGAAGGAAGAACAGGCTTCCTGGGCTCAGAGAGACAGTGAGAACCCATGCGAATAAAGCCTGTCCCCCGTTATCCTCTATCAGAGAAGCACCCTGAGGGGGAAGCACAGATCATTGTCTAGCTCATCAACCATTAGGAACAAAATAAAAAATCACATGTGGAAGAGCACTTAACACTGCTGGAAGAGGGTTTCCGGTTTATGGCGGCGTGTTGAGCAGTCGCACCTCCCGGACCTCCCGGGGGTGAAGCTGTGCTCTGGCCGAAGGAGGGGGTGTGCGGGATCGTCACCCCCCCCAGAGACCCGGCTGAAGGGGCTCTGGCCATGGGACTCTCGAGGGGTTGCCTCTTCGCTGGCACGATGCCGGGGAATTGAAGCGCCTCTCCATCCCGAAGGTTCTTTGTGCTATGAGACCAAATGGAACCAAGCAACGCTGACCGGGGCAAGCGCAGGAGGTCGAGCGAAAGAAACGGAGCTTAAACAAGGTCTGAGGACCAACTATGAACGTGAGTTCAATCTAAGCGTTTAAATAAAAGGAAAAGAAACCCCCCACGGAACAGAAAGTGAGGCGAGCGGGGGAGGGACGCCTCCCAAACGCACGTACTTAAAAGCGAATTGGAGGGGGGGAGCAGATGAAAAAGCAAATAAAACTGTTAAGAAAGACTTACCAAGGCGAGTTTGAGCGTACAAGCACATATTCAGAGACTTATAAAATCTCGGTTAAAGTAAAAAATCCACAAAAATGGAGAGGAAGAAGACGGAGAAAGAGAAACTTTTAAAAGCGAAAGGGACTGAGAGCCCAAGACCGGAAGCAACCAGCGAGCTGGCAAAGACATTGGCGGTGCCTTTGGATGACAATACAAAAAGGTTTTGGAAAGACGGTTCTAACTGGAATGGTCATGTCTTGGAAGAATCCCTGCAATAAAAATGAATGTATTGCCAAAATAAACTTCCTGTTTCCGATGATACCGATCAATATACGAAGACTTTGATGGACTGGCAGAAACAAATAAATACATTTCCATGGAACAGGGAAAACCCAAGAATGACATTTAAAGTATTACAAGATGAGAAAAGAGAGGAGGCTCAGCAGTAGCTAACATTAGACTGTACCAGCAAGCAGCCGGTTTGGTTTGGATTGCAGATTGGATCAAAAATCCCAATGGTCAATTAATAAAACTACAAGGCTTCCGGTATGGCGTGACGACGGGCGCGTTACAGCAAGCGCTGAAGCGCCCGACCCCGTTTGTCTTCTTTCGGGGTTCCCGGTCACCGGGAATTCTCGACCAGCGGGCCTGGCGTGGCCTGCTGGAGCAAGGGGCTTCAATTTCTGCCTCCCCCACAATCGGCAATGCGGGGGGTGTCCAGGAACCGCCCTGAAGCAGGGACCTTCGGTGGAGCAAACATGGCTGCCATGGTTTTGCAGAGTTGCAGCCGCCCGGATTTTTAACTTTGCACAGGGAGAAAAGTGAACTATCACGGTAGCAATGTAAAGATTTAAAGGATGTGTTGACTGAACCATGGAAATGGACATGAGGGAAGAATTACAAACAACGGGGAAAAAACGGTAATAAACCTCCAAATTGCGGCGTCCAAAACAGGGAAAGAAAGCGGCCGGGGGAAGGAAAGGATTGAGTTATAAATAACTACTTGTGAGGAGGGAAGAAAAGCGGCGTTGAAACTCTGTATACTGTTGGCTTGTCTGAGTTTTGAATGATTTGTAAGGAAAACATATTGGGTTTTGTGTGGAGTTTGAAAGAGATGGAGCAGACTGAAAGAAGGGGGGAGGAACAAAAGGTAGAACTTGAGAGTGGCGAGACAGAAATGGAGAAATTTATCAGAGAGATAAGAGAAGCGGTGTGGAGAGGATGCCAGGAAACATGTATGGAAATAAGAAAAGAATATGACTTGCAGGTGGAAACAGACAGAGCGGAAAAGCAGGAATTAATTACAGTGAAAGAGACCCATGAGGAGGAGGATATGATAGAGAATTCGGACAGTGTTAAGGAAGGAAAATCGGAGAAGGAGGGAGAGCCGATAAAAGTTGAAATGGAACTTAAAGTGAAACATCTAGGACTTAAAATGATCTCTTTAAAAGAAAAAAATCAATGTTTAAAGACTGAGCGAGGGAGAAATAAAAAGACTCGAAAGGATAAGCGATGGTTAAGGAATTTCAAAAGGATCAACAGATTCAGGACTGTAGCAGGAGTGAAAGGCAGAAGAAAGAGCTATGGAAGACAAAGAGTGTTAAAGGAAAGAGGGCATGGAGACATGTTGAGAAAAAAAAAAGAAACTGCAAATGTCTAAGAGAAAAAGAAAGCGTTTTGGAAAAGCAAACTTGATGCGGTCCCCCTCTGTATGGATAAATTTGGAAGACTGACAAGTTAGCTACTGGATTTTGATTGGAAGACTTGATGGTGATATTTAAAATTATGTATTAAGATGACTGACGTGGAATGTGATGGGGTTTTTTTTATTGATACCTGTATCTAACCTATTTACTAATGAAATTGAGGGGAAACTGAGAGGAACTATTAGGGGAAGTTAGAATTGATTTTAAGGGGAGATTTAAGATAAGGAGAATTAATAAGATTGGGAAAATAATTAAGGGGACTGACATAGTTGATTGGGGGAAAACTAATAGGATGGGATCTGATTGTGACTTGGTATACTTTGGGATGGAAGTGTGTTATTATTTTTATGGTTAAATGACTTGAAATTACAGGATTATGAAATGATATTGGGATATTTATATTTGTATTAATAGTGATGTATTTATGAATCTGACTTGAAACTTTTGGGGGAAGATGTTAATATAAAATCTATGATTGATTGATTAAGATAGAAAGGGTTTGTAATTAATAATAAGGAATAAGGAATGTGTAGCCGGCTGGGGGGTAATGTATAATCATGAGAGTAGAATTTGATTAGAAGTAAGTGCGCTATTGGATAATTGAAATATTACGTTGGTACTTATATTTGTATGTATATTTCTATTGATTGATTTATTTATGAATTAGACTGGGAATCTTTAGGGCGAAAACGTTAATGTAAATCAGGTGATTGAGTAATTAAATGAATATAAAGGGTTTGATTAGAAGTAATTCTGCCATCTGATAGAAGGAAAAATTGATGTAAACAGGTTATTTGTTATTTATAGTAAGGTACTTGAGTAGGTCAGTCGGAAGGAGATCTAAGGTTTGGAAATTATAAAAGGATGTTGTTGAGGTGTTGTTGAGAAATCTAAGGGAAAAGAAAGGTTTGAAAAAAGAAATTAAAAAGTGTTAAACAAAATATTAAGAAAATATAAAAATCTCAAGCGGTAAACAAATGGGTATAAAAAAGAAAAGAAATAATTATGAACTTAAACCCCTATATTGAGCACACAGAATCGGCAAGACATAGGGCTAGGAGAGAAGTCAGAATCTTGATAGAGTCTGGGATAAGAACTGTAAGTTTGAATTGGCATTTATTTAATCTCAAAAGGTTACAGGAGTATGGAAGTTTAGGCAACACAGATTGGTTTTGACTGGAATTGTGAAAACAAGGAAAGTCAGTTCTTGAAGGAATGATAGTAATATTAATCAGTAATATTAATCAGTGTTGTAAAAATAAGTGAGATACAATGTATGGAAATATATGTAAACTTGCTGCTGATATTGTTAATGTGCAAATATAGGCTTATAAAATCTAATAAAAATAATTATATATAAAAAAAGAAATAATTGATTCATGCAGGAAATGTACCTTTCTGCAGGTGAAGTTCAGAATCCAGATTGTCTGAGGAAGTGAATGGAACAGAAAACAGGCAGACGATCAGTTAACCTTTTTTTCTCAGTTTTAGCTGAAGGGTTAAGTAGCAGCCACTTCAGGGATGAATTCTCCCCCAAATTTTACTGGTGTGCAAATATCCATTTTTTTTTACACTTAATATGACTTTGCTCCGTTCCTAATTATGGCTGATGTTGGACTGAGACCAGAAAGGAAAAATGGATCTCATTTGGCAAACTGACTCTTAACCACTAAAGCAGACAAAGAGTGATCCTGAACAAAGTTATCCAGAAGTCAACTGCTTTGAGTTGCTTCAGACCCGCTTCACAGAAAGTATGCTAAGGACTGCAGCCCAAGGATCCAATCCAGAGAGGCTTAGGATGTTTCCACACAGAGATTTTGTTCCGGTTTGGCATCGAAACTGGAGTGGGCTTTCGGGGAGACCTACACAACGTTGTCACCTAAGCCTCCACGTTCTGGGGTTTCCACTGCTTTCCTCTGCACTTTCCCAAATCCTGTTCAATACAATCTTTTTGGAATGATTGCAGTCAAAAGGTATTTTTTCATGCTGTGTGGATAGGAAAATGTGCATTTCTGAATGGCCCACCTTTTCCTTGCCTCCTCCTCCTCCCAGTGGCTACTATTCCCCTCCACACACACTACTTTCTATACTACTAGTAGTTCCTCTAAATTCCGGGTTTTTAAAATGTGTCCAAACTTTCTTGTTGCAGAGATACAAAGGGAAGGTGAATCCCTTATTTCTCTGCCACGAAAAGGGCTAGAGATGCCCTAACCTGGAAAGCCTGATCTTTTCAGATCTTTGAAACTAAGTGGGGTCGACTCTGGCAAGTACTTGCATGAGAGAACTCCTTGGAATACCAGCAGTCGGGAGGACAGGGGCAGGCTTCATTCAGCCACCTCTCTGAATATCCTCCAGGCTCCCAGGAGGGGTCAGACACCAGACGTCACCATGACTTCCACGTGCACACACTCACACACACAAGCACATATACAATACAAAAATACCCAACCCCCCCCCAAAAGGGCTAGAGACTTTTTATTTTAAAAAATCATGGCAGTAGGTCATTATAATGTTATTGTGCTTGAGCTATTAGACGTATTAAAGGGTCAGGCTGCCCAACTTCCCTTATATCTATGCAATGAATTCTTTTAAAAAATGACAATTCTAAAACACGGAAACAGATTTTTATACTGTTAACCTGTGTTAGTGATTAGTCAGTGGGGCTGTGTGGCTCAGAGGTTAAGACGCTGAGTTGCAGACCAGGAGGTCAGTAGCTTGGCAGTTCGAGGCCCGAGTGCCTTGTGACAGAGTGAGCTCCCGTCTCTGGCCCCACCTCCTCCCAACCTAGCAGTCCGGAAAGCAAGAAACTGCAAGTAGATAAATTCAATAGGTACCACTTCGGTGGGAAGGTAACAGGATTCCATGCGCCTCAGCATTTACTCATGCCAGCCACATGACCATGGAGAAGTCTTTGGATAGCGCTGGCTCTTTGGCTTGGAAACAGAGATGAGCACCGCGCCCTAGAGTCGGCTTCGACTGGCTTTTGAGCAAGGGAAACCTTTACCTTTGTGATTAGTCAATTACCAATTAGGGGGGAAAACCACCATAAAGGACTGTGGGGAAAAGGGCAGAACAGACTGGAGAGCGACAGGATAGAAGGGTGGGTGTTCTTGTCTGGATCAGAGAATGAAAGGAAGGAGACCATCACTGCACGTCTCATACGAATTCCCCGTCCACCTGGCCCTGCTGGTGATACAAGTGACCTGGAAGGTTCCACACTTATATCTGGCTTCACCTCATGACCAATATTCCTTCTGAGCTGTGGAGTCTTGAGAGCAAAAATTCTACTTTGTGAACACTGGCATTAAAGCTGTGAGCGAGCGAGCGATTTGGCTACTGCCCAGATTAGTTAGCTCACAAGTTAGCCACCCTTCCTGAGCTAAGATAAAAATGTGTGAGCTGGAGGCTAAAAAACTGTGAGCTAGCTCACACTAACTCAGCTTAGAGGGAACACTGCTCATGACCTCTCTGAACCTGTTCTTTATTACCTTTCAACTGCTTCGTGACACCTTCCAGTGAGTGAGTGATATCACAGAAGTCCCAGATCCTCCACTTCAGTGCAAGAGGAAAAGTCACTGGATTCTCAGACCTCTCCTCTTCTTCATACCTGTGGACAAACTATGTTAAGCCACCCTCCATCAAATCCAGAATTCCCACCAGTAGAGCAAAGGCAGGAATATGCAGCCCTGCAGCACATCACATGACATCACTGCACTCAAAAGCATCCTTTCTTCTGTTCCTTTTAAATGCCCGCAACTTGTGTGAGGCATGGAAACATCAAGCCCAATAACGTCACATCATGCTCCGTCCTCCTCTAAAAATGTCTGGGGAAATGTACAGCAGGGAGGCAAAGTTTCCAATCAGCAGCCGTGAAATCGTCTAGTCTAGTCTGAGTAAGAGCAACACCTTTAAGTGCCATGTGATGCTGATGGCACAGGCCCCAGCTTCTGCTTCCTCATGAGTAGCCTCCCTCACACACTGCACACCCAAGACTGGGCAGAGCGGTCATCACAAAGCTCGACACTCAAGGGGCCCTCTAGGCAGTCCAGATGCCAACCAAGACGCCAGTTGAGCCCCATCACATTTACCACCTGCCATTTTGTGGAATTAAAGACCTGAGGGGACTAAACTCAACCTGCGCATTCCCAAGGGTGAAGGGGCTTGTTTGACAAGTGAAACCACCCCTGCTTCAGCACCAGAATTCTGCCAGGACCTTCTGGAGATGCACACCCAGGTCTTCACCCTGACATACACCTATTTGGGGGCATGATTCTCTGTCCAGGGGACTGTGTTCATCCGCAGTTTGCCATTTACAAACAGATGGAGGTCTGTGATCCTAGTCACGTCTGCTGTGGCCCTGAGCCTAAAGGCTCTCTTTTTCCACATGGTACCCAGATCCATCCCAGTGTCAGGAGAGGAATGAGAGAGAGGGATCCTGTGACGTCCTCCTTATAGGGGAGGACTAGTTTCACTTTAAAAATTTATTTTGTTTAACAGGGTAGAATCTGCTGCCACCAGGAAATTTTAAGGATTTCCAAACCTTTATGCTTTTACTTTTGCTCTTACTGGTTTTTTATTGTGTGTGCAACTCAGGGACGGGGGCTGGATCTTCGTAAAATGGGAGAACTTCCTCATGAGGGAACGACATCAGCAGGCAAAGCCAAGCCATTCCAGAGGAGAGCTGCGTGATCTGCTGCAGATGGTCTTGCAGAGAGTCCTCAGTTCTTGTTGTCCTGAAGAGCTACCCACCAATCTCTTATTACTTGCATCTGTTGCTCAAACATACACCCACACACACAAACATACACACACTTCAGAGATTCCTTCTTCCATCTCCTGTATCTCCATAACCTCTCAACCAGGGGTGGCCAAACTTGCTTAAC